CTAAAGAAAATTTAGGAGTGCTTCTCTGGACCAACACGACATGACTTTCCCTCACTTTCTCTCCATATCTGTGTTGTGCTTTATTATTTTCTAAAATGAAATATAAAAATTAAATTATCTATTAAAAAAAAAAAAGAAAAAAAAACTGAATAAAAGATACTCGCCGTCGCCAGCCATTGGCGACTTCTTCTTCTTCCTCCGATCTTCTCCTCTTCTTTGCCTCTCCAGATCTCTCTCCTCTTCTCCTTCTTCTCTTCTCAATTAATTTCATCTCAATTCAATTTTAATTTTAATTTTAATTTCCTCCGCTTCTTCTTCTTCTTCTTCTTCTTCTTCAAATTGACGTATCCGCTTGCGTCACATCCATTTCCTCGGGCCAAAAAAAAAGTGAAATTCTCCAAGATCCGGATCTACCCATTTCGGGTACAACCTTTGGGTCTCCTCTCCCCTCAATCAATTCCATTTCCGTCTCCAAAAATCTCACCTTTTTTCAATCATCCGATTAAGGATCCGGATCGGGTTTTTATCTCCGATTCGAGCTCTGGGTAAGCTCGAATCATCATCTCCTCGACGTTTTATCTCAATGATTTCTCAATTCGATCCCTAATCTCCAATAAAGCTCCCTCCTTTCATCGATTCCCCCAAACGATGGATAAACCGCCTCCTCACGAATCCATCTCCTCTCGATGGAGCGTCTCTTCCGTAGACAAAGAAGTCACTTTCGGCGATTTAGGCGATTTGGGCTCGAAGCGTATCCGCCACGGATCAGCCGGAGCTGATTCCGAGATGCTAAGCATGTCTCAGAAAGAGATCAAAGACGAGGACGCACGTTTGGTTTACATAAACGACCCCGAGAGAACCAACGAGACGTTTGACTTCACTGGCAACTCAATCAAGACAGCTAAATACTCTGTCTTCACGTTCTTACCTCGTAACTTGTTTGAACAGTTTCACAGAGTTGCTTACGTCTACTTCCTTTGTATAGCTGTCCTCAATCAGCTCCCTCAGCTTGCGGTTTTCGGGAGAGGAGCTTCCATCATGCCGCTTGCGTTTGTTCTCTTGGTCTCAGCTATTAAAGACGCTTACGAGGATTTCAGGAGGCATAGGTCGGATAGAGTTGAGAACAATAGGTTGGCTTTAGTGTTTGAGGATGGTGAGTTTCGTGAGAAGCAGTGGAAGTATATTCGTGTTGGTGAGGTTATTAAAGTTGTGTCTAACCAGACACTGCCTTGTGATATGGTGTTATTAGCTACGAGTGATCCTACAGGGGTTGTTTATGTGCAGACGACTAATTTGGATGGAGAGTCTAATTTGAAGACGAGGTATGCTAAGCAGGAGACTCTTCAGAAGGCTACTGATTTGGAGACGTTTGATGGGTTTATAAAGTGTGAGAAACCTAATAGGAATATATATGGGTTTCAAGCGAATATGGAGATTGATGGGAGAAGGTTATCGCTTGGACCTTCTAATATTATTCTTAGAGGATGTGAGCTTAAGAACACTGAGTGGGCGTTAGGTGTTGTTGTGTATGCTGGTAGTGAGACGAAAGCTATGCTGAACAACTCTGGAGCACCGTCTAAGAGGAGTAGGTTGGAGACTCGGATGAATTTGGAGATTATTCTGCTATCTTTGTTTCTCATTGTCTTGTGTACAACCGCGGCTGCCACCGCGGCTGTGTGGCTGAGACAGCACAGGAATGACTTGGACACGATTCTGTTTTATAGGAGGAAGGATTACTCTGTGAGGCCGGAAGGGAAGAATTATCATTACTATGGTTGGGGTTGGGAGATATTCTTCACTTTCTTTATGGCAGTTATTGTGTATCAGATCATGATTCCCATTTCTCTCTACATATCGATGGAGCTTGTCCGTATTGGTCAAGCTTACTTCATGACCAGAGATGATTTGATGTATGATGAGTCTTCAAACTCAAGCTTCCAGTGCAGGGCTTTGAATATAAATGAAGATTTGGGGCAGATTAAGTATTTATTCTCGGATAAGACGGGTACTCTCACGGATAACAAGATGGAGTTTCAATGTGCCTGCATAGGAGGTGTTGATTACTCTGACAGGGAACCTGCCGAGAGTGAGCAAGCTGGATACTCCGTTGAAGGTAAAGAAACTAGTTTCTTTGATACCTTTTGTGTTGTTAACTGACGTTACACCTTTGTTGATGCTTAAATTTAACATGATGCAGTTGATGGAGTTATTTTGAAGCCAAAGATGAGGGTGAGAGTTGATCCTGAACTTCTTAAGTTGACGAGAAATGGCAAGGCAACAGAAGAAGCAAAACGTGCTAATGAGTTCTTCCTCTCACTAGCAGCTTGCAATACAATTGTGCCAATTGTTACCAACACATCTGATCCCAATGTGAAGCTAGTCGATTATCAAGGGGAGTCTCCTGATGAACAAGCATTAGTCTATGCAGCAGCTGCTTATGGTTTCTTGCTCATAGAGAGAACCTCTGGCCATATAGTTATTAACGTGCGTGGAGAAATGCAAAGGTTTAATGTTTTGGGATTGCATGAGTTCGATAGTGACCGGAAAAGAATGTCAGTGATACTGGGATGCCCCGACATGTCAGTTAAACTCTATGTAAAAGGTGCAGACTCATCCATGTTTGGTGTCATGGATCATGAATCCTACGGTGATGTCATTGAAGCAACTAAGAATCAGCTTCACGCTTACTCATCTGATGGTTTGAGAACTCTTGTTGTTGGGATGAGAAAGCTGAACGATACAGAGTTTGAGCAGTGGCATTCTTCCTTTGAGGCGGCAAGCACTGCGTTGATTGGTAGGGCTGGATTGCTGAGAAAGGTTGCTGGAAACATCGAGACTAACCTAAGGATAGTAGGAGCTACTGCAATTGAAGACAAATTGCAGCGTGGTGTCCCGGAGGCAATAGAATCTCTCAGAATTGCAGGGATTAAAGTATGGGTGTTGACAGGTGACAAGCAAGAAACTGCGATATCCATTGGCTTCTCATCGAGGCTTCTGACTAGAAACATGAGGCAAATTGTAATAAATAGCAACTCGTTGGCTTCATGTCGGAGGAGCTTAGAAGAAGCAAATGACAGTATTGCAAGTGATGATGACGAAAGTGTGGCCTTGATTATTGACGGTACCAGTCTCATATATGTACTCGACAATGATCTTGAAGATGTGGTAAGTTTAATTTTGATGAAGATACTCTTGTTTATGTCTTGTCTTTAATTGTGATGTAATTTTTTTTTATTATGCAGCTCTTCCAAGTGGCATGTAAATCCTCTGCAGTACTCTGCTGCCGTGTTGCTCCTTTTCAGAAAGCTGGAATCGTTGCACTTGTAAAGAACAGGACTTCTGACATGACTCTTGCCATTGGTGATGGTAATGAGACCACTTTACTTGATCTTGTCTAAGCAAAAACCAGGTTCTTCGTTTTGTTTTCTCACCTTCTCATTTGCTTTTGGGTTTTGACAGGTGCCAATGATGTGTCCATGATCCAAATGGCTGATGTTGGGGTAGGGATCAGCGGCCAAGAAGGTAGGCAAGCTGTAATGGCATCTGATTTCGCAATGGGACAGTTCAGATTCTTAGTTCCTCTACTGCTAGTCCATGGACACTGGAATTACCAAAGGATGGGCTACATGATACTATACAATTTCTACAGAAATGCAGTTTTCGTTCTAATTTTATTTTGGTGAGTAATTTTTTTACTGCTTTTTATTCTAATCCGTCACCAAGGACTAATAACCATCACCAATTCCACGTAGGTACGTTTTGTTTACTTGCTACACCTTGACAACAGCCATCACAGAATGGAGTAGTGTCTTGTACTCTGTCGTATACACATCGTTCCCTACAATAGTTATCGGTATACTTGACAAAAACCTCGGAAGGAGGATTCTTCTCAATCACCCTCAGCTCTACGGTGTGGGCCAGAGAGGAGAGGGATATTCCACAACGCTCTTCTGGTATATGATGTTTGACACAGTCTGGCAAAGTGCAGTTATCTTCTTCATTCCTCTCTTTGCGTATTGGGGCAGTACCATTGACACGTCAAGCCTAGGAGACCTATGGACCATTGCTGCAGTTGTGGTGGTTAATCTTCACTTGGCAATGGATGTAATAAGATGGAACTGGATCGCACACGCAGCCATTTGGGGATCCATTGTTGCAGCCTGTATATGTGTTATTGTGATCGATGTTATACCTACACTCCCTGGTTACTGGTAAAAACTTCTTTCCCTCTACTAAAGCAAACTTAAGCTTCACTGCATTTTGTTCCAACATGTTTTTTTACTTTTGTGGCTGTGACAGGGCAATATTCGAAGTGGCAAAGACATGGATGTTCTGGTTTTGCTTGCTTGCCATTGTTGTGACATCATTGCTTCCTAGATTCGCCATCAAGTTTCTCGTTGAGTATTACAGACCTTCTGATGTTCGGATTGCTAGGGAGGTTGAAAAGCTTAGAACATTCAGTGAGTCCCAAACCATGGGAACTGAAATGAACCAGATTCAGGATCCAGCAAGGAGATGATACCACCACATTTTCTCAAATCAAAAATTCTTTAACACCCTTCAGCGGAAGTAAATACAAAATTATATATTCAATATATATGTTCCATTTTCCCCTCTTGGTTGCTTACTACTGCAAGAGTAGAGTTTGTTGGGTTGTAGTGTATAACAAAGATTACTTAATCTCCGGCTGTAATTTTTTATATTTTGTTGTAACACTTACCAAGTTTTCCTTTGTAAAGAGAAGAAATTTCATTTCCTGGTTAATCAGTTCCCATTTCACTGCTATAAGATAAGAACTGACTAGTACCCTTTTATGACATTTATATGAAAAAATCTTAAATCAAGAAACAAGATATAAGTTTCAACAGGTTTATCCTAAAAACAATCTGAACACTAATTAAGATTACATATCCAACAGGAGACAAACATGAGAGAACACATCTTCCACAATCCGAGAAACAAACAAAGGTTTATGATGGAGAGACATCACAGCTTGCGTCTTATGCTGTTGAAGAGAAAGAGACTTTAATACTTAAGTTGCCACCAAAAGCAAAGTCATTCATAAGATCCCTGTCAGATAAACAAGTCTGCTCCAGTTTATTCACAATTTCACATGTCTCTATAGATTCAGTAGATAAATAACAAATAGGAAAGAGATGCTAACCTTTTAAATTCAAAAATCATCTACCTCCAGTTTAAACCAGATGTAGCTTTTCTCTCCATCATCAACCAAATGAACCACGACAAAACTCTGATCCGCAAAAGCACTTCTTTTTGCCACATAAAGTACTGCCAACTTGAGTTCCACTTGTTCTAGTAACTCCATAGTCATAAGTTAACTCAGTCATGGGAGGAATATGAGAAATGGCAAAGAAGGCAACATGCAAGAAGAGTTGACCGTTGTTTTCATAAGTAACCGGCTGCCAGAAAACATTAGGTGAGCAACTATGGTTCATGAACCGAGCAACGTTGCCAACATTCTTAGCACTGATTATAAGAGGCAGTGGGAGTTCAGGCTCTTCAGACATTTCCTCAGAAGCATCTTCGTCTGCTAAGCCATGCTCATAGTTCCATTTGAAAGGGGTATACACACGTGTTGTATCAAAAGTATAATCATCATTAGCCATCGTTGGCTGCACTTTCGATTTGTCTCTGGCCTCACCTGCATATATACATATAAATGTACCAGCACGAATGGGATCCCATGAGCGTAAGCCCCATCCTCTGTTCACTGTCTTAAACACTTCAAGCTTTAGTTTCACTCCCATTTGAGTCACCTTGTTTTTGCAACCCGGGCACAAGCAAGATGGGCTGCATTCATGTATCATAGGCTTTCTGCTAACGAGAACTCCATTACCAGAGTAAGGGAAATCACCTCCGTTTTTCCTTATGCAGTGACAGTTCAAGTTCCCTGGTTTACACGAGTTCCCACACTCGCATCCATAAGAAGGCTGCGCCAGCTTAAACGAATCTGAGTAGTTCACAGTTGTTGAGTAGGTGAAATAAAGAGGTCCATTCTCGGAATCAACTTCATTCACAAGTGAAACGCCTATGCTTTCAACCCCGGAAGTGAGATCGGTGAGAATGATTCCTTCCCTTGAAGGCAAACCCTTCTTCCACTTTTGTATCTCAATCCATGAAGCAAACGCAGGAGGTTGACCAGGAGCTCTCACTAGCTTATACTTAAACGTGTTGTGTCCTGACTTCCCTTTCTCTACCCATGACTCTTTCACCTCATAGAGCCCATCGTAAATATAAATCTTAGCACTCTGAGAAGCTTCTTTCAATCCCCTGATCACCCTAACAGGACTATTCCTCTGCAGGCTCTTCTCCAATGCAAGGTTACCTCTCTCCAGCTTCTGGTCAGATGATTGTTTATCTTTATCAGCATTCCCACCCTGACCAGTATAAACCAAAACATCAGGATTACCTTCATCATTATCATAATAGCCAGAAGACACAATGCTAGTTGCTATAGGCTCCTCTTCTGTATTATCTCCCTTGACAACAAGATAATCAATCCCGGCCATCGACGGAGAATGCAACCCAACCAAACACATCTCAAACCTGAAGAAGAACACGTCACCAATCTCAAGACCTTGAACAACGCCTGGTCTCTTCTTAGTGTTCGTCCTCACACCTCTGCTCATACAAGTAGACCCAGCTTTCAAATCAGCACGTTTGATAATCCCACTAACGGATTCCTTAGCATCTTCCAGCTGTGAAAACCTTCTCCTCAACGCATCAAACCTCATAAGCACACTCATCACAAGCCTCCGATCACCATTCTCTCTTTCAGCCACGCTGATCCCGCTCTCGAAATTCGCGTTCTGAGCAATAGGAGTACGCTTTCTAGGGATCTTTCTCTTCACTGTTGACCCCTCAAGCTCCACAACATCACCATTAGTTGCTTTATCAGCAGACTTGAATGTCCTTAAAGGAGTAACCAACGAAGGCTCTGAGCTGTTCTGAGTCTGAGGCTGATGCTGAGGTGTATACTGAGATTGGTTGAGATCTGGAGTGTGTTGGCTCACTCCTTGAGAAGCACTAAACGGATAGAAAGGAGAGAAACCAGGTGGAAAGGGACCAAAAGGAGGTGCACAGACAAAAGGTGGAGCTTGATTCCCACTTGGGAACACAGGTTTCAAAGTACGCAATGGTTTAATATCCAACACTCTCGTCTTATCAGTGTAACTCCCAAAGCTCCCTTCCATAGCTGAAACAAAAAAATCAAATCTTTCCAAATAAAAATCTGATCTTTTTTTTTATATGCAAAATTGAGAAAATAAACAGAGGATCTGAGGCAAAGTCAAAGTCTTTTATCAGATTAATCTATCATTCATCACAGATTCAGAGATGTTCAAATGCAAAAACCCAGAAAGATTATAACTTTGAGAAGGATTAACCTGAAAGATACAGACTTTGAGATCTCACGGTCTCCGAGATCGCTCTCCGTTCAGATTTTAGGGTTCAGATTTGAGAGGGAAACAAATCGAGCTAAAAGTTTCCAGCTTTGGTAAAAGAAATAATCTGCTTGACATATATTTTTACCAGTAGTTAAGATCTGTGAGAGTTAGAGAAGATGAGTAGATTAGCCGTTGGATTAAAATGGTTATGCATCTTTGACCGTACAAAGATCTAACATAACTCATTACCTACGTAGCAGGTTTTTTTTTTATCTTCCGTTTCAGTTTTGTCATAGTGTGTACTTGTGTTCGGTCTTTCTAGTGATGTAATGACTTTTTGGAAGTTTTGTCAATTGCCGGTTGTGTCAACACGTGTGTTAGATGATTGTCGTTTCTCTTTGGCTCAGTGATCTTTACTTCTCATTGATTAAGTTTTGGAACTTGAGCTTGGATTCTTGGCTATGTAGTTTAAACTATACTCTTCATCTAATCATTAATCAAGCACAGGCTACGAGTACACAGAATTAATAAAACAATCTGAAAAATTAACAAGGCTTACATATCCAACAAGAATCGTTCACAGTTAGCGTCTTATGCCCTTTGAAGAGAAGACTTATACACTATAGTTTGTCACCAAAAGAACACAACACTTGTCTCTTACCAATCTAGAGTTTAAACTTAATCCATATCCTCATGAGCTGAAATGTTTGTGCAAATTCTCTAGCCAGAGAAACTAGAACTAGAGGTGTAATATTTTCTAGGTAAACTTTTTTTTTTTTGGACAAACTTCAATCTATAGATTCTTATTCTCCAAGAATGGAGAAAGTGTTTACAGGACCTGATAACATAGCCATCTTGGCCAAAGAAACAACTATTACATGGAAACAAATACAGCATATAAAGATAGGGGCAAACACCACACTTAAACACCTAATGATGTAGAGAAGTCCTCTGAACTCAACGACCATACAGCTGACAAGTGAGACGAAGCCTTGGGAATTAGAGACCACAGACAGTGATATGCTTCCCGAGATTGAAACAGCAGCAAGTGCACAATTAACAATCTTAAACATGGCTAAACAGCCTTTGATTAGAACTTCAGTATTTGAAGTATCTCTAATCTTTAACANCTAATGATGTAGAGAAGTCCTCTGAACTCAACGACCATACAGCTGACAAGTGAGACGAAGCCTTGGGAATTAGAGACCACAGACAGTGATATGCTTCCCGAGATTGAAACAGCAGCAAGTGCACAATTAACAATCTTAAACATGGCTAAACAGCCTTTGATTAGAACTTCAGTATTTGAAGTATCTCTAATCTTTAACATTAAACTCCCTGCACCAAAACCACATAAAGTAGTTGATGAAATTGGGAGAGAAACAAGCTCCATAAATAAAGAACCTGAATAATAATAGACGTCCGATAAGACCCGATCCACGGGATGAATGGAAATGTGAAACATTAATCCATCAAGCTGCCATAGCTGAACACAAAAGGACTTGAATACCACAAAGGTAGAACTGTATAACACAGTAAAAGGACACACGAAAGGAATATACCAAACCAAAGCTATCAACACATTACTGAGGAACAAGCTCGAGAATTTCTGAGAAAAACCCTGGTTTAGTAGGAGAGAATGGGGGAAGGAACCCCCTGTTATAGCAACAAACACCTTGACAGGCTTAATGAACTGGAGCTGAAGGTATATGATTTTACCGGAGAAAGAATTGTAAGATCCTGAATCAACACACCGGCAAAGAGACAAGCTGCATACTGCAAGAAGTAAACGCTTGGAGGCAAAGCTTGTGTCACCAACAGATCCAAGAGAGACAACATCAACACTGATCCCAAAATCCAGATTCAAGAGAAGAGATTCTAAATCTAGAGATTTAAATATCGTTTGAGAGAAGGCTAAGGATGTGTCGAAGAGTTTAAGGAGCACGAGATTGGAGGATGAGTCAGGTGGATCTGGCGGTTCTGGCGGAGACGGAGCTTCAAGCGGCACATGAAGAAACGTACACGGCGGCGGCGGATCGGGAGGAGGACGGAGCTGCGACGGAGAAGATGGGGGACGGAGCCGCGACGGAGGAGACGGATACATCAAAGGAACCATGAGAATGGTGAGCTGCTTCAAAGGGTATACGACCTACTGACCAAGCTGAAACTGCAGAGAGAAGCCATGGAAGCGGCACCTAGGGAACTGGACCAGAGAGAGTTTTAGGGCGAACTCNGATCGGGAGGAGGACGGAGCTGCGACGGAGAAGATGGGGGACGGAGCCGCGACGGAGGAGACGGATACATCAAAGGAACCATGAGAATGGTGAGCTGCTTCAAAGGGTATACGACCTACTGACCAAGCTGAAACTGCAGAGAGAAGCCATGGAAGCGGCACCTAGGGAACTGGACCAGAGAGAGTTTTAGGGCGAACTCTTTTTTTGTTCTATTTTCTAGGTAAACTATATATATTTTCTAGGTATATATATTTTCTAGGTGTAATATGTTTGTTTCTAATAATAAAATTTCTACCAACCAAAACTTGGTTTGATCATATGGACAATTGACAAAAACAAAAACAAAAAAATCAAACTAGATTTTTTTTGCCATTCATGTTTTCTTAAGCAAATCAAATCAAATTAAAAAATTTCAAACCTGTACTTATAAACAGAATGTTCATGGGTTTGGCATGGTTTCAGTCTAAGTTTATTTCCTTTTGAGTACCATTACCATACAATACAAGATAACATAATATTATACATCAAACACAAACAAAACCAATACAAGATAACATAATATTATATGGATGTGGATTTTTCAAGATTTTATATCAAATAAATAAAAACATTATATTATATTAATTTTATTGATGATGAAAAGGGAACAAAGAAAGAGTTCTTCTGTATCTTCAAAGTTCACAGAGAAGATCAAAGAACTCAAAATTCACCAACTTATACGAACCACACATGTCAGAAAAACACACAAGATGACATGAAATTAAAAAGAGCGATTAATATAAGACAAAAACATTAACACATAATCTCAAGAGATATGAGATGTGTTTAGTAATTACTTGCTTTGATTACTCAATGGCACTAAACTCCTCAACCATCATCTTCTTGCAACGATTGTTCATAATCGCATGGACCTTAGAGCAGTTACAAGGCATGAACATGCAGCCACGAGTACCATTGACCCCGTTCATGTTCGAACCACCTAGCTTACGTGCGATAACAACCGAGTTAACAACATCATCGGTGGGATGAAAGATGGTCAATAGCTGGAAGCCTTTGAGATCAGAAGAGTCAACGATCGGATACAAGAAAGCTCTAAGAGCATGAGCACTCCTTAACATAAGGACAGCTCCAGGAGCCATGTGTTTCTCCAAGTGCTCGATGGCTTTAACCTTTGCCTCTTTATCCATCCCAACAAGAGCCGCCAAGAACACTACGTCGTATTGGTCTAGCCCTTCCGTAGCGTTTAGCACGTCCGTTGTGTGGAAGACCATGCGTTTTGAGAGGTCGGGGTCTCGAGAGACAAGGCTTGAAGCGAGTGTGTTGGCGTGTGAATCGATGTCAAAGTTGTGGAACGTTGTGTTCGGGAGGTGGAACTTAGCCAAGACGATGGATGTGAGAGGCATCGGTCCTGAGCCAACGAAGGCAATCTTGTTGGGAACATGGCTCGAGTGTTGGCTCAAGAGATCGAACTCGAGCTTGCCTAGCTTGAGGTAGTTGTTGTAGTAAGGAAAGATGTTTAAATGGTCAAGTGGGTTTTGGTCTAAAGACCCCAAGATTGTGGAGAAGTGTTGCTCTAAATAGCCTTCGGCTTCACCACATAGCTTGATGAGGTTAGATCTCATGTCTTTGACTTCATCACTCAACTTTGTGACATCGATGTTTGTGTCTGTGGGTAAGCACGTGGACACGAGTTGTCCGAACAAAGTGTCGACATATTTTGAAGGTTTCAAACACTCGAGCTTTGAAATTTGGTCGTATAAGTCGATGATCTGCTTCACAACAAGATTGTTTTCGCAAGCCATGTCGACACTATGAGGTTATCTTTAGAGAGAGATGATAGGTATTTTGATTTCTTTAGTATTCTTTTTAAGATTTTTGGAAAATCTTTGTGTTGTGGCTTTAACCTTCACAAAGGGTCGTTATTTATTGGCAGTTGCTGTGGGGTCTGTAGTGGAATTATTTATCAATCGATGATCTTATTCATATACGTTAATTCATACTTGATGTGTGGTCTATGTCGTTTATAGTGATATAATTTCAGATCATCTCTACATACAAATAGTAATACTCAAAATTTTAATATATAGTTTAGACATATAAGGAAACTCGTAAGACAGATTCAGGCTTTTTTTATTCATAAGCATTAGGCACTATATATTATATACATAATTTCCCTGTTGGTTTTGTATTTTGCAAAATAAAAGTGCGGCACTAACCATTCCTAACTATAGCCTTTACCAACATGGCACGACCCACAACTTGGACTATACCATATATGCATACAACTCTTTAAAATTATACCGTTCGTTATTATAACTATATAAGGTTATATTTATCAAAAAAAAAACTATATAAGGTTATTAGTTAACCCCGAAAAAACTAGATAAGCTATTAGGTATCGTACGATACACGAAGACTAATGTTAATAAAAATGTGTTAGGTCATATGGTTAACCGGTAACGTATACGGGTAAGTTTTTCTGAACGGTGAACAGTCTCATATTGCGGCAGAGAAGTGAAACAGGTCCTCTGATCATGCACAGGTCAACATGGTGATGACTGATGAGTTTATCCCCCAACTTTGGTCACGGAACATGAAAACCAAACAAAAAATGCTTTAAACATTTTACTGAAAGGTGAATGGTTATAATGTTTTTTTTTTTAAATTGGAATTATAAGTGCCAAGGTTGAAAAGTGATTAGACTCTTATATTTTTTGTTATTTTTACGCAAGATTATTTATAACAAAACTTTATATATATATATTGAAAAGTATTTTTGATATCAGCTGTTCGAAAAATGATGTATGTTATAATCTTCGGATGATTCTTTTTCTTTACTGATTTGGACATCGTAAACGAATTATTGATGTGCAAAACTATAACACTAGTGTAAAAGTTTCATAAATTATGCGTGCAGTTTCACTGTTATACGTATGAATGGAATATTGCTATATATATCGTCTTTATACGTTTTTGTGTACAATGTTTACGAGATAATGTATTATAAAGTTGGTAGATGGTAATTAATTAAGGCATGTCTCAGAACATTGATAAGCCAGTCACCATGAAAATCTATCAATTATTTTAAATATTATTATTTGAAGAATTATTATCTAGGTCGATATCACATGCTATAGCGTTGAATTACAAACAGTCGTCAAACAGTAGATTCCATTCACTCGCATGCTTGGTTGGGAATAAATCTCGATTCCGTTGGCATCTGCTAATAACCATTTTTACATTAATGACTATCTGAAGAAATAAAATTCCTTAAAATTCCAATGGCAAAAAATAAATAAGAATAAAACTCGTTATAACACGTTCTACCTTTTAAGAGCATTAACAAAAGGGCTGACTCTTATACACATTTGATTCCATTCAATATTCCATTCATATCAATTTGATTTCGGCATTATTCATCCCCTCCATAAATGGTACGTGCTATATTGAACATGTGATAGGGACTAGCTGCAACAAGATGTTGCAGCGACGTTTCAAGGCTTCAAACAATAATTTGCATCTGGTTTTATAAACAATGAAAATGTAAGATTTAGTAAATGTGACACTATTTAGACAAACTAAACAGAAATAAGAATGAGAAGCAACCCAAAGAAGAGTTTATGAACATCTTTTACTATCAGATGATCACCACCAACGAAGAGTTTATGGACGCATAGTTGAGAAAATAATACATGGAACATGTTTTAACAGTGAATTATTTGAAGTGATTAATTATAAATGATTGGAAAAAATTAAACTTACATTTATAGTGAATTTATTAATTTACATTAGTGCCTCTTCCGTAAAATGAATGGCCAATTTGACTAGTCCCTCTCAGGGTACGTCGACAGATATGATCCTAAAAACAAAATACGATTTTGTATTCAGACTTCAAATCAAACGTAACACAGTAACTATTTAACATCTTGTTCAAATGCATCATGATTGTTCGTTTGCTTTTGTTTTTTATGTTTTAATTACACAGCAAAAAAAAAAAAAACTGAAAGCTCACTTGATAACAAAACCATCATTTGGGAAGATTTTTTTTTATATAAAACGAAATGGTTGAACCGTTAAAAAAAATTATAGTTTAGTGTTATATAATACTCTTTCTTTTCGGTTGCACTCTGTTTCAATGATTTTTAACCTTACAATTATCTCTATGTGAGTGTAAATTAATTAATTGACTTATATATGGAGAGAAGTTTGATTGACTAAGCACATCGATCATGTAGCTGTCTAGATTTATAATTAGGCAACCAGACATGTATTGTCTATTTATTAGGGCTGGGCATTTTATCCGTTATATTTGATTCGATTCGTTATTTGTTTCGATTCGATCCGAAAATTCCGGATATCCGTAAACTTTCGAATCAAAGCAAATACTAAAATTCAATATCCGTTAAAATCGAAGCAAATCACAAATATTAAAATTCTGGAAAGCGGATATCCGATCCGATCCGTAAATATATAAATATATGTATATCTTGATTATATTTAAAATTCTTAAATGTATAAACTTATATAATTATTATTCTAGCATAAGAATTTGAAAAATTCTATTCAAATTATTACTTATATAAAAGTATTACATAAAAAGAAAGAAAGAAACTTATGACAATTATATTTTTTTCTTAAATTTTGTGTTATTATAATTGTAACTTAAGCTTAAAAAAAATACAAAATATATAAATTCACTAGTTCTTTTAAATTTTATTTTATATATCATGCAAAAAAACATTTTTGCAAAGCAAATTTGTATCAAAATCTTAAGATTATTTATATTAATCAAAATAGATGAGATATCCGTAAGTATTCGTAAATATCCGCAAATACCTATTTATTTTCCGGATATCCGTTTTTCCGGATATCCGTATTTTCTCGAAGCAAAGCAAATACCAAAATTAGATATCCGTAACATTCGAAGCAAATCACAAATACCTTAAAAACCCCGGATATCCGATCCGTGCCCACCCCTACTATTTATAGCAATTTCATGGCCCATAAATACAACAGAAACCCCAAAATCGAACTGAGTGATGTGATAATATTTTAGAGATTTGAATATGTTGAATTAGTGGAGAACGGAACAAAGTTTTGCAGCCACTAATAAAAGTCCCTACCAAGACGTCTAAGTCAATGAAAAGTTATATCGATGCCAAAAATGTTTTTCCGCATATTATTTTACAAATACGATATTGTAATTTTTTGATAAAGTACGATATTGTAATTTCTATACCATTTTCTGTAAAGATGAGTTAAGATTACATAATTACGCTCATAATTGAAAACAGAGATCAAGTAGTTTTGTGCTAGGTGATCGATGAGCGAATCTTGACGTGGATGAAGAGTTTTCCGTTCTTAAAACATACGAAAGAAGTAAAAGCAAGTACATGTACGAATTTGTGCACAAAAGAAAAAAAAATTACATGTACGAATTTTAGATACGAATAAACCTACACCATGTGTGCTTTATTCCTTTCAAGGTACCTCAAAACCTTTAGGATAAGGTTAATTACTTAATATAAATATCAAAAAACAAAACTAAACAGAATTTCAAAATTCTGTAGATATCAAAAGAAAACAAATGATGTTAATATTAAAAGTTTTAATTTTTCAAAAATAGTATTAATAATAAAAACAAATATATATGCTTAAATAATATTTTGAATTTTGTAAAATATTTTATATTTGTTATTAGTATTTAATATTATATTTAAATAAATTTGGTTTAATGATGATTTATAAGTTATTTATATAAATTTATGTTAAATGTAACTTTCAAGTTATGTGTATCCATAAGTCATGTAATCAGTTTTAATATATCATGTCATTATTTTTAGTGAAAATGGTTTTTGAGATGACATAAACAAAATCACTTTGTAAATAATGCCAAGTTGGTTGATTCAGGGGATATACGCGGTGACAATTGATTGATTTATCAAAGTTTCACATTATGCCAATTAATTGACAGTTTGGGCCTTATAGATCAATTTAAGACCACAACCTATTCGATAATGGAGTCTCTTCAAGACCGGTTGTGAATTTTTTATAGAAATGGGCTGGGGACCCAATAATCTATGTCTATTTTGTTCTGACATTGAAGAACCTCTTTTTGTTATGGTTGATTTTTGAATAATCAATGCCGTTCGGAAATTTAGGTTTAGAGAAATCTTTGAGATTTAAGTAATTATAAAAATGGACGTTTGGAGTTTGTGTACGGAGAACTTCCACCAATAATACTTCACAATGTGCTCTTCACTAAGTGCTTTAGAAAATTCACAAATCATTTATATATATTGAGAGAAAAATACTATAAGTGGACACACATAATTGATTTGGTATCCCACCTAGTGATGGGATACACACAATAATTTTGATGAAGACCTCGACTAAATATGTCCAAAATATAAATAAGAGGAATCTTACAGACAACGATTAAATCAAATTCACTTTCAATTATACTATACTAATATAAACAAATAAATACAGCAACAAAACCAGAAAGATTCTATAGCATATACAGTATGTATAAACATGAGAAGCACTCGCAATGTTATGACCATCCTAATAATGAAAGTATCAAACGATTCATCTTAGTGCCTCGCACGGCAAATATGTAGGCACCGCGTATAACCAAACAAAGCCAATAAAATATATAAACCAACAACACTATATAAATCCCTATATGCAAATGAAAACGAATTACTCAAAAATATTTGATCATATCATATATTAGGAGTCACTCATCAAAATGTCCTCCTACGGCAAAATCAACGAGCATGAACAAGCCAAACTCGAAGCAAGTCGTAGGACGAGAAAGAGAATCACCATTATCGCTATCTCTTCCATCGTCCTCGTCTGCATCGTGGTGGGAGCAGTCGTAGGCACCACAGCTAACAATAACGGCAAGAAACCCTCGTCAACGGAAGGTAACGGTGATACAATCTCTGTCTCGGTGAAAGCCGTATGCGACGTGACATTATACAAAGAAAAATGTTTTAAGACCGTTGGATCAGCTCCAAACGCGAGCACACTAAACCCTGAGGAGCTGTTCCGCTACGCTGTCCAAATCACACTCACGGAGCTGACAAAAGTCCTCGACGTGTTCTCCGACAGGGAACACACGGACAAAGCCACGTCAAAAGCAATGGGAGCTTGCGTGGAGCTTATCGAGCTAGCCGTTGACCAACTCAACAAAACGATGACGTCAATGAAAGACAACACGAAGTCGTCTTCCGAGAGTCTTGACGATCTCAGGACGTGGCTTAGCTCCGTTGGTACGTATCAAGAAACGTGTAAGGACTCGTTGAAAGAAGCCAAGAACCCTAACTCGACGGCATTTGGAGAAACGCATTTGAAAGACTCCACGGAGTTGACTAGTAATGCGTTAGCGATCATAACGTGGCTAGGGAAAATCGCTGACTCGGTTAAGCTAAACCATCGTCGTTTACTGACGACTGCTCGTACCAATGACTTGCCGATGATGGGAGCGGGAGGTAGAAGGCTTTTGGAGAGTGGTGATTTGAAGAAGAAAGCGACGATAGTGGTGGCGCAAGATGGGACGGGGAAGTATAGGACGATAAGTGAGGCGTTAGAGGAAGTGGAGGAGAAGAATGAGAAGCATACGATTATATATGTGAAGAAAGGAGTTTACGTGGAGAATGTTAGGGTTGAGAAGAAGAAATGGAATGTTGTGATGGTTGGTGATGGACAGAGTAAGACTATTGTCTCTGGTGGACTTAACTTCATCGATGGAACCCCAACGTTCCAGACCGCTACATTTGGTAAGTACTTATACATATGCAACGATTTCTTTTAAACCTTAAGTTTTATGTGTGGTAATTTGAGTCTAGAAGTCATATTTATTTCAATTAAATATTATTGCAGATTAAAGTAAACGAAAATTGATTTTTTTATGAACTGATAGTTTAAAATATATATTTTGAACACTTAAAATCCATAGTCTGGTTTATTTAAATATATATTTGCAATAAATTTACAATAGTAGCTAACTTGTTAGTTGAACTGTTGGCTAAAAGTGGTAGTTTATTTCATAGGAATTCATACCATTTTATTATTGAATAATGGAAGGAAGTTTTGATGTAAAAAGTGACAAATTTACAATAAAGATAGATGCTTTGGACAATCCCTTAGCTAAATGAACTGAGTAGGAGTATATATTTATAGTGAAAACGTTTAATAGTGTGTAATTTCATATGTTTTTTTATTCATTTATTTATTTGTATTGTATTTTATAGCTGTCTTCGGAAAGGGATTCATGGCTAGGGACATGGGTTTCCGCAACACTGCTGGTCCAGCCAAGCACCAAGCCGTAGCACTTATGACGAGTGCAGACTTAGCCGTGTTCTACAGATGCACCATGGATGCTTTTCAAGACACACTTTACGCTCATGCACAACGTCAGTTTTATCGCGAGTGTGACATCATTGGAACAGTCGATTTTATATTCGGAAACGCTGCGGTTGTTTTCCAAAACTGCAAGATCTTACCTCGTCGTCCTATGAAAGGCCAACAAATCACTATAACCGCTCAGGGAAAGAAAGATCCGAACCAAAACACTGGAATCTCTATCCACAATTGCACCATCACTCCTTTTGATAACTTAATTGATGTTAACACGTTCCTAGGCCGGCCCTGGAAAGATTTCTCCACCACGGTGATCATGAAGTCTTTCATGGACGGATTTGTCAACCCTAAAGGGTGGTTACCGTGGGTAGGAGATAATGCACCAGATACTATCTTCTATGCCGAGCACTTAAATTTTGGGCCAGGAGCCTCCACTAAGAACCGAGTTAAGTGGAGAGGGTTGAGGTTGTTTTTAACAAAGAAGGAAGCAAATAGGTTTACAGTTAAACCTTTCATCGACGGGAAAAAGTGGTTGCCGGCGACTAAAGTTCCATTCAAAGCTGATTTTTGATTCTTTTTACCTGACATGCATGCACGTTCTTTAATTTGTTTTGTAACGAACATACAACTTTTCATTCCAGTTTTCTTCATATGTTGTGTGGCTTTCAAAGTTTCTGAATTTGTTTCTTAACATCAACAAATATCATCATAAATTCAATTAATTTTCTTAATGAAATTTTTCGATTTTCAGTTTCCATTTCGGTTTTGAGTTTGGTTTGGTTCAGTAGAGTTTTGAAAATTGGTACGTTTTGGTTTCCAAATTCTTTTTGAAATAATCGAAAAAGTGAACTTAACCATAAAACTGAATTTAACAAAAAATATCTGATTTCAAGAGAATTATACCGAATTCTAACCGAAAACCAAAAAATCGGTTATTTCAGAAAAAAAAAAAAAAAAAAAAAAAAAAAAAAAAAA